GCCGGATGTCCGCAAGCAGGCTGCGCATCCCTGCACCCCGCGCAAAGATTCTGCCCCCTGCGCAGCTGGTTAATTTTTTCTCAAGTGCAGCCCCGCTTGGCGGTCCACGCCGACCCTTCCCCCGGTCCCTCCCAGCCCGCCGCTTGCCTCAACACATCCGCCAACCAACGCCGCACCCCCGTTTCCCGCTCGGGCCCCGTTTTTTGTGCTGCTTCCCTTGCCCCTGTTTCTCACTTGGGGTCCCGTTTTCTGTGCTGCTTTGCCGCACCCCTGTTTCCCACTCGTCCCGTTTTTTGTGCCGCTTTTCAGAGTCCCGGAGCCGACGAGGGCAGGAGCTTCGGCTTCCGCTGCCGGTACCCGCCGGACGACTCCGACTCCGCGAGCTCCGACCTCGAGGAGGAGGCCGCTCGTGGCAGCGCCGCCTCGTCGGAGGAGGTGAGGACCCGCCACCGGTCCGGACGACAGCACGTGGGCCGCTCGGTGCGTGCACCACCAAAGACGATTCTTGTTCCACCCACCCCCACCCCCACCCCACCCGCCCACTGCATGGAAAAGAGCCTCGCATAAACTTGCTTAGGATGGGTTGCCCTTTGTATGGGCTGTTTCTTTCTCTGTTTGTAACAATTCTCCCCCGTTTACAGGCACCCTGGGCCCACCCATGCCTCAGGGGGGCTGCCAAAGGCTTTGCACCTGCCTTCGTGACTTCTCGCCTTTGTGGCGTGTTGCCTCTGCGACTCTTTCCTTGGCAGCTCTTTAGCCTTTGTGACTCTTTTGCCATTGTGGTACTTGGCCTTTTTGCAGCTTTGTTGCCTTTGTGCTGTCTTGTCTTGTGGCTCGATGCCTTTGGCTTTGGCCGTTGGCGACAGGCCGGCGCTGCACCGCTGGGGTGGTTGTCTGCCATCGCCTGCAAGGCACAAGCTTTCGCTTTTGTTCTCTTGACCTGTGCAGGCGAATGCGAACCATGTAGTTCTTGCTGCCAGGCACATGCCCTTGCACTTGTGCCTGTTTGTAGCTTGGTAGGTGGATGAATGTCTGTAAAGTGGTCGAGGAAACTCTTCCTGACTCTATATGTCACCCGGGAGTGGGCTGAATTTGACGTTTGATTTTGCAGGGCGAGAAGATTCTTCCTGAGCCAACGCGTATCAAACCTGGTGAAAGTCAGAAGCCACTACGTGGTGCGGTGGTTACCATGCCGCGCAGTTATGCGCCAAAATCGTGGAGAACAGGGGGCTCTAGAGACCAAGAGGCCGGTAAGTTGGCACATTGGGGCCGAATTGCTCTCAGTAGCCCCTCATAGCTGCTGCATTGCGATTTGTCTGATATCGTATGTGTTTGTGTGCAGCTCTGCATCCTGGTGGATCAGTGGGGCCCGGAGCTCCTTTGACAGCCGTCTTCCCACAACAGACCACTTCAAAGGCATCCTCAAACATTCTGGGCAATCCGCTCTATGACGGGTGTGGTGCAGATGTTCCATGGAATGTGCCTGGGGCAGGGGATTGGCAACTGCCTTGATTGCTGCTCCACGATGTCGATGTCCAGACGTTTTTGTACCTTGTTTTCCAAGTCTTCCCTGTACGGAGCCTTGTGATCAAGCCAGCGTGCGAACAGAGCCTGTTGTTGTTGCGCCCCTTCTGCGTGCCAATGCTGCTTTGGCCTGTGCTTGCAGGCCACAGCCGACGCAGGCGCCAATGTCAGCAAAGAGCCTGTTCAAGACGAAGCTCAAGACAACAGCACCAACAGCGCCTCTGCAGATCAAGCGTGCTGACTTGCGCCCGATTGTGTCACCTGAGCTGCAAGTGGTGAGTGGCCTGATGGAAGAAGTTAAGGGTGGACTGTTGCCGTGCTCGATCCTGGCTGCTGAACACAGTATTTTTTGCCTGTATGCATTCTACAAGTGCAAAAGGATGCTGTTGGAGTTCATGCACACCTGTCTGAGAACCTGCTGTGACAATGTGAACATTTCTTCAAAGCCACCAAAAGATCCTTGTCCATGGCGAATTTGACATTTTGCAGCACAGTGTTCTGCTTCGAATCTCAGCCTGAGGTCCAGGCTGACCTTGCGATGAACAGATGCCTGGCTTCTATGCCTCACGCAATCCTTTGCTCTTGACAGCATCCCACTGAAGCATCGGCTGGGTGCCACGTGCGTAGCTGCTTCCCATTCACTGTTTCGACTTGCTTGCAGGAGGAGCGGCGTGAGCTGCTGGACAGAGATGGGGAGCTGTGCCATCCAACGGCATCGCAGGGCTGGAAGGTCTACCCTGGGATAGTCGCAGGGAAGGATGCCAACGAGCTGAGCTGTGGCCTGCCTGTCCGACAACCCCTCTACGGCGACCAAGGCATCCCTGATCCCCCCATGCCTGATTACCTCAACCAAGAGGTCCCAGAGGTCCCCGAGCCCAGGGTGTCCTCTCGATACCTCACCCAAGAGACTCCAGAACCTTTGCGCCTGGAGCCACTCGAACCCAGGGTGTCATCTCGCTACCTTACCCAGGAGACTCCTGAGCCCCTGAGCCTGGACACCCTGTCACCCCGCAACGACGTGATCAACAGCTCCTCCCCTGTGCACGAGGGCGAGCCAGATGGAAGCTCGACAGAGACACGGGCTGAAAACAAGAGGAGCGAGCAGAGCGAGTCGTCCGCTGGGAAGGAGAATCTGCAGTCATCGGAGAGCTTTGCGTTTGACAATCGGTTCAACAGGCTCGCGAAGCCGGGCCTGATGACCGGCTCCGGTGGTCTGTTCCACGTTGGGAGGTCCATGCGCCCCGAGGCATCGACCACGGAGGGGTCTCGCCAACAGGCTAGGGAGGCTGAAAAACAGAAGCGCCCGTTGCAGATCAACACTGGGGCGATCAGCCATGCGCTGAACCAGAACTGGCCAAAAGGTTTCCGCAATCCAAGGTCTGAAGGCCAAACAGGCGGCAAGAGAGGGCTACGGATCCCGAAGGCCTCCGACCTGCCCCAGCCCGATGGGGCATCAATTGGCATTGATTGTGTTCTCGTTGGGCAGCAGCCGATTCAGGCGACCCTAGACGCTGAAGGGTATGTGGTGTCCAGAGTTCCCAGGCTTCCTGCCAGCTCTGGTCCTGTGCCGAGCAGGACGCGAAAGTTGGACACCAAAAGGCCTCAGTGCGCTGACGAGCGTGAGGCCATGAAGAGCAAGGGCCAGCCGAAGCTGTCAGCCAAAGTGGAGCCAAGGACCGGCAGTCCGGAGAGCCCTCAGTCTCGAGGCTCGCTGCCGAGCGAGTCCAGCTGCATGGATTCTGATGACACGTGTGCGACGCCAGAGTCTGTGTTCGGTGTGAAGTTGCACAGGAGTCGGGCGGGGCGCCACAAGGGCGAGAGCGATGACTCCGCTGGCCAGCTTACCGAGGAGAGAAGGAGGAAGCGGCGCACCAAGCGGAGGCCGGGCCGGGACAATGAGTACAGCGTGGTCCTGAAAATCAACATGCAGAGCCTGCTGGAGTTCTTCTTGCTGCTGATCATACTGGCCATTGCCACACTTTGGTGCTTCACGGCCTCCAGGTGTGCTGGCGAGGGTCCCTGGCCGCTGAGCTGTGTGCCGTGGACGTCGATGCTACCGCCTCCCAGTGCCTCGTGAGGAAGGCCTGTCGAATTTGCCGTTTCTGAACTGGGCGAGAGAAGGCAAAGGGGAGAGGGTAGGGGTGGGGCACGGTTGTTAGGACATGGCGTCCAGCAGTCTGTGGTATGGGGCCTCGCAGTGTGAGGTCTTTTTGGACGGTGGGATGAGCGTTGGAAGGCAGTGAGTTGGTTGGAGGCTGAGTTGTAGCCAAGCAAGAGATTCCCAAAGCTGGTGTTGATGTCGCCTTTGGGTGATGTGCACAGTCGCTCCGGGCTGGCGCGCTGCCGGCCGATCGCCAAGCCAGTTTTCCAGTTGCCTGGATGTGCTTTCGCTTTTCTGATTATGCTGACGAGTCCTCCTGCCGCACTCAACTCCACTCGGGTTCCCATCCGCTCGAGTGCGTCCTCGTTTTCTTCTTTTCTTTGACGTTACCAATGCTGGGATGCCAGAGGTTCAGCCGGTGTGCTGCGGACAGCGCCACAGGCGGAATGGGTACCCATTCCCTTGGGTACCCACCCAAGCTTGCCCTTCCATGGGTCCCCCGGTGTCGAACTCCACTCTGATGCCACAGGTGTTAGAGCCCCTGTGCTATTAACAGTGTCGCTGACTCGATGGGCCCCCTACCTCCCCATGCCGGTCATTGCGATGTCACAAACACTAATGCAATTGGTTAGCGCCTGGGGAGGGCACTTGCCGGTACGAAAGCGTGCCTCCGATCGAGCGCAGTGGACGCTCAGCGTCGCTTCGCGGGCGCAAAGACCGGGCTTCGTCAAACTGTCACCAGTTGTAAGCACGGGGGACGCCGGGTCCCACAGGAATTGTCACTGGGGATCATCCCTCGCCTGTTTACATGCAACGTGCAATTAACACTGCGTGTTTACCGCGCCTCCTTCAGCAATGTGTGTTCCCAACGACCACCAGACATCCATCAAATGCATCAACACACCGCGACACGTCTCCAGCCCAACCGCTGTCAGAACAAAATCAATCCCCACTAAATGCCGAGTCCCCTAACGAAATGCAAAAATGTATTTGTCGACTTCGACACTCGGAGGTTCTTTATGCAAGCAATCAAATCTGTATCTCGCAAACGCTCCCTCTTCTTCTGTCGGTTACTCAAAAACTGCTGACCGGCAACTGACCGCCATCTGCCCTGCAGCTCAGACACAGATGACGCTCATGCTCCGCACACCCACTACCCTGTATGCGCACAGTCCCATTCTCTTCTCAAGGTACACAAACTTGCCCGTCCGCCCCACACGCAAAATCCCAAGCCGCCCCAAGCGTCCAACCCATAGTACACATCGTCATCGACCTACCAATTCGACGCTAAAATTCAGCAATGAAGCACTCATGCCTTGGTTGGCCGCCCCATAACAGGGGGGCGCACCAGGGGGGGATGTGCGCAAACAGGCACTCAACCCCTCAAGTGAAGTTGGTCGCCCGTGTCGTCCGGGCCCACGTTGGCTGCGGCGTGTGGATCCTTGACCCACTGCTTGGCGCCACTCAAGACTTCCTCGATGTTGCGCGTCGCGCTGGCGCTCAGGCTGATCCCCATCTCCCTAATCTCCTCGCGGAACCGCGCCGCCTTGTCCATCATGTGGTTGTCGAAGTACGTCCTGAAGATCGAGTAGACAATCCTGGAACTCGGCTTGCCGTGCGCCTTGACAAGCTTCCAGATTTCCTCCACCTTGTCCACCTGGTTGGATATGGCAAAGCTCTTGAGGAGCTCGTGGAGGGCCTTGCCCGAGAGGATCAGGCCGTTGCTGGCAGCTGACTCAGCGGACGACAGCGCAAGGTCGGTGGCGCCCACGCGGAAGAGCGCAGTAAAAATGCGCGAGCAGGTCGTCTCGTTGTACTCGTCAGATATCCCAGCCTCCTTGCGGGCAGCCCGCTCGACGGCCAGGAGGTTCATGGCTCTCTCCGCCTGTCCAGCAAGCGCACACCACGAACCACAACATCAGAATGTCCACACCAGCGACGAACCTGGGTGTGCCAGGAGCCAACCATTCTCACTACGAGAACCAGCTACATAGTCCACCATCCTCTCCAGCAATGACAGCTCAATTGTGGCATGTTCCGAGCAGAGTACACACATATCAATGAACACAGCAGCGCTATGCACAGAAGGTCATGTTCATGACCAGTCATGACACAGAAACAACATCTGGTGGAGCAAAGGTGCCGACTGCCAAGCACAGGGTTCAAAACTGGCCCAGATGTGCAGCATGCAATCTGTCCATGCTGGAAGCCAAGCCAATCAAACTCACCTGATCGCGGTTCTCCACCTTTCTGAACAGAAAGGATATCACAACATTCTCCACAGGCCCATGCAGTCTCATGTGGTCCTCGATGGCCTTGAACAGATCATCGAAGCCCACAAGCCGCAGCATGCTCAGATGAACCTTAGGCTCCTCAAGGGCATTCAGCAGTGTGGCTGACTCCTTGAGTCCATCGCCCTCCAGCAGCGCGTCCATCGCGCTTGCGCTTTCGGAGGTGTCAAAGCTCTGCTCCTCAGCATCCTGTGCTTGCGTCATTACCACAGCACTGTGATACTGGCGTTGTGTGTGTGCAGTGGGGCTGTAAGGGTTGCTGAAGAGGCCGGGTGGATCGAAGTTGCCATGATTGAGCTGCGCAGGATCCAAATGCAGTCGAGTCAGTGGGGAGAAACGACGGCAGCAGGCACAAGAGTTTTGAGGCAATACAGGGAGCAGCGGAGGCCCTGTGCACAAGAAAAGAAATCGACTGCCGATCCATCGATTGTCCAATGATTGGGCACGGCACAACAATCGCTGTTATTGCTGGACTGTGGTCTGGCAGTGGGCAAGAGACATGAATGTCAGCGTGCCAGAAGGTGGCCAAGCACTGTTGAATGATTATGCATTAGGCAAAGTGCTCACCGAAGACCTTTTACGCAGCATTTAGATCATGACCCCACACAATACCCCAATTCCCAAACTGAAGAAAAACCACTCACCACGCCAAAGCTCAGTGGGACCTGTGGCACAGAGGGCTGTGCCTGTCCCGACCTCTGCCTCACATACACTTTGTCCTCCCAGCGCCAGTACTCCTCCCCTGAAAGGAGCTTGTCCAAACGGGCGTTGATCCTCTCAGACAGCTTGATGCCCCTGTGCTGCAGCTCCTTCCTCAGCTGGTCAGCCTCTTCGAAACGGCCCTGGTTAAAGTAGGCAAGCATCATGATCACGATGCAGTTCGAGTTCCAGCTCTTCCCGGCCGTCTCCAGCGCCCTGAAAAGCTTCTCCACATGCTCCACCTTGCCCTTGACACTGTACTGCTTCATCAGGTGATACATGCTGCTGCGAGACAGTGTGAGGCCCATCGCCGACGCGCTCTCCGCGGCCGCCACGACGTCGTCGTCTTCGCCAGCGCGATTGAGCGCGCAGAACACCGCAGACGATGTGACCTCGGAATAGTCACTGCTCATGCCCCTGTTTACCCTGGTGGCTCTGTCCTCGTTCAGCAGGGCCAGGGCCCTGTCTGCCTGCTCCCTGTTGTGGACCTTTCGGAACAGCTGGAAGAGAGCCATGTCCGGTATCGGCCCAGACGTCCACAGATGGCTCTTCATGGCATCGAACAAGTCCTGGAACCCCAGGCCCTGGAAATGGGACAAGTACTTCCCTGGGTCCTTCACGGCCGACTGCACCACACAGGCAGCCCACTGTGATCTCAAGCCCTCGTCAGCCCCGCTCAGTTGCAGGGATGGCATGAAGCCCAAGGCTGCAGAGTCAGGGGCTTGGGACACAAACTCATCGGGCATACATTCTTCCAGCCCAGCACTGTCGGTGAGGTCCAGACCAGCCTGCGCCGCCTGGGCCTGCAGCTGTGCTTGGAGCTGGGCGGCTTGAAGCTGGGCTGCTTGAAGCTGGGCAGCTTGGGCTGCCTGGGAAGCTGCGATTGCCTGGAGGGCCTGGTCTGTGGGGATGGCTTGCCTTGAGGGCAGAGGAAGACTTGGCGGGCACGTGAAAGGCTTGTTGGGCATGCCGGGCAAAAGCGCTGAAAAGCCCAGCATCTGTTGGTGCAGCGATTCCTGCTGTGCCTGCAGCACGCAAGAGACAAGGCTCAAACGAGGCGCGTCCGCAAGAGAGGAATTCAACATTTCCCAGCTCTGCAGTTGCTATCTTAAACAGGGTGAACGAACCTCCTCCAACAGAAACAGCTCCCCAGGACACACTGGGGTGAGCCAGCATGTCACCGTGTCCCCTCACGAACGCAGCACCCGCTCACACACACTGTGCAACCATGCCCACCGTCGCCTTTCAGGTGCGCAGTGCCCAGTTCCCCTTCCTTGCGGAGCAATGGAATGGAAATCTCCCACCAAGCCGCTGGCGCAAAAAGGAAAGAAGACAAAAACCACAAAACAGGAGAATGAAACAATGCACAGATGCGGTTGCGAGCGCACCGCCATAGTCCCCACCTCGAATCCATCTCTCCTCGACGGCGAGCCGGGCGCCGGCGCGGCGGCAGGCTTGGCGGCGGTGGCGTCGGCGCTCCAAATGCTGGCGGTCGTGCCGAAGAGGCCCTTGGGCGTGTCGGGCCCCGAGTTTTGGCCGCCGTCGAAGGCGGTCACCGCGTTGTACTTGTCCGGGTGGAAGGCGGCCAGCCATGCCTGCAGCCCCACGGCCCGGGAGCCGTGCCTACACACATGGGCAAGTAAGGCGTCAACAGCTGCCGAATGAATTCCCTCCGCTCAAAAATTCGCCCTCGAAAGAGGAACAAAACGGCCGTGGTCGTTCGTTGAATGTAGGTCCGATGCGTGATCAGCGGGCGGAAGCTCGTGGGAGCTTCAAAATGGAAACTTGCCACGGCGCTACAGTCACGAGGAAATTGCCTCCAACAGCGGCGGCGTCCGAGGACTACCGCCAGCGCACCAAAGCGCACACAAAACGCAGCCGGAGATGCCGGCGGAAGCCCTCGGCTCCACACGGACATCCCCTCGCGGCCGCGTCCGGCCGCGCGTCAACCCCCCCCCCCGCCGCCGGCGCTGCAACCATCGCTGACGCCCGCCCAGCGCCCCTGAATCTGTCAGGATCTCACTCCCCCGCGGCTTCCGCCGGCGCGATGTCTCTGCCGTCCGCCGCCAGAATCACCCCCCCCCGGCGTGCCGCCGCCGCCGCATTGACCAACGCCAGCCGGCGCGATGGCCATGCGAGGTCCGCCCCCGCGTGCGCCGGCGCAACCACCCACCCGCCTGGGTCGGGCGGGTTCCCAGAGATGCCGCGGAAAGAAAACGCACAGCCGCAAGGTGAGGCCGCGCTGTGCAGATCCCCGCGCAGAGAGCCCTCGCCGGCCGCACAGCACGACCGCCTCGCCAGCATCCCCCCCCCACCCCCACCCCCCTCATCCTATTCGACCTCCCACCACGCCCCACAGCACTCTCCGACGCGGGTGTCGATCCGCCCCTCCCTCGGAGCTCATCCCCCCACGCGCATCCCCCCCCTCTCCCCCCTCCCGCGCGCCCCCGCGCGATCGGCCGTCGCCGGATCGCCTCTGCCGGCCTCGCCGGCAGCCCCGCCCGCGCCACCCGACTTCCGCCCGAGGTTCATTCCCAGATCGCGCCTCGCGGAGCCGTCGCCGCGGGATGCCCCGCTCGGACGCGGCAACGCGGCCGTGGCCGGGATGTGGCGGGGGCCGCCGTGCGCACCTTATGGTCGGGATCATCGTTCAGCGAAGAACCGCCCGGGAAGCTCGCCCGCCTGCGGGTCAAGTCCCAGCGTCCCGCTTCGCTGCGGACCCGGCTGGCGAGGGGGGGTGCCTCCGGGCGTGGGCAGCGCCCAGGCGGCTCCCTTTTCGACTTTTTGTCCGCCTACGTGACTCTTCGCGGCCGCTTGTGGGCGGGAGGCGCCTGTGGCCGTGGGGCGGGGAGATCAGCCCGAATGAAGGTTGCCTGGCTGGACGGGGCACTTCACGGCCTAGCCTGGGGCGTTCTACAGAAGGGGGCTGGGGTCTGGCTCGACACTGGGGCCGCCACGTGGACTTTTGGCGACGCCCATTGGACGCGGCCGCGCCGGGAGGAGTACGAGGGCGCCCGGTCGCGTCACGCTGACGTGAAGCGGGTGCGGGGCAGGGGCGCGGATTAGTGTGCGTTTCGCAGGCGTTGCGCCCGGACGCGCCTGGTGGTTTCGTCTCTCGATGCCGAAGTGTTGATGTTCAAGTGTCACGGGAAAGCCGATGTTTCGCGGAGACGGGGGGTGGAAAGTACACCGCGTGGGAGATCCTGGGGTGCCGTACCGGAGTCATGAATCATGGCGCCTTGATCTGTAAAAAAATCATGATGATGATGAATCATGGCGCTGGGGCGGGCAAACGTTGAATCCGACCCGACTTTTGGCATTTACGCCAACGTTGCCGGCGCCCGCACGATGGCCAGGTGCGATGGGTGCCTGTACGGTCGTCTGCCAGGCACACGCGCAAACGGCGCGAAGTCGTTGGTGCCCGACGCCGAGCGGCCACCTGGGGGAGTTCCCAGTGGGGCGAGGACCGCCGCCTCACGTTCCGTCCCCGGAAATGGGCCCAACAGCCCTCCGCTGACACGCCGCGTTTGGGGCTAAACATCGAATTTTTGTCTCAAAAATGAGCGAAATTCACTTTTCATCCGACGCTCAAAGAGGTCGGGGCTGACTCACATTCTTGAGTATTCGTGGTTGAGGGTTTTTGGTCCCAATCTTGCGATTCTGGCACCCTTTACCAGTAGAGAGACCGTTTTCATAACGGGATTTGTGTTTCAATTAGAGGACAATTAATATGGGACAGATGAAGTGCATAATTATATCGACATGTCGCTCCCCGGCGCGTATCGAGAGATCAACCGCCACCCCTGTGGTTGACGACCCAACTGGATGTTGTTTCGGGTTTCTTACCCCACCTACATAACCGCCACACCTGTAGTTAATACCATGTTGTAAAGCCCGTCGTAAACTGTCGCCTTCTGCTGGACCGCCCAAGCCCAACGTCGCACCGGGCGCTCATTGAATGACTCATGTAATGAGTCCCGACGCGACGCGCGACGCGACGCTCGACGCTACGTAGACCAATTACGCGCATACACTCGTTGTTTGGGGGGGTGCTTACACCTACATTGGCCACACACACACGCAGCAGAGGCTGCGGACTCCATGGCCCGCCTCTGCTCCTCGCAGAAATTCTCCCCCGACTCCCTTTGCGGCCAGCGGGGCCCGCGGCAGCGCGGAGGCCCCCGCGTGCCGACGCGCGCCTTCCCGCGCATCTACGGCGCGCGCCCGCCTCCTGTGCACGATGATCCGCGCCACGATGCCGTGGGGAATCTGATGTCCGCCCTCGAGGGGGCGGGCAGGGGCCTGACGACGTCCGGGGACGGCCGGGCGGCGATAATGGCGGCTGTGGAGACTCTGGAGGGCTTGGGGGCTGAGAGCGTGACCACGGGGGAGGACCTGTCCAGCAGGTGGAGGCTGCTGTGGACGACCGAAAAGGTGCGCTGCCGTCCTGGGCGGTTGGTTGGGGTCCTCTGAAACAGGATTTTCTCTATCATCTGGCCAAAAAGAACGTTCTTTTATTTCCTAAACTTGAATATCTGAGTTGTTTAGATTGGGATTTGTTGCAAAGAAAAAGAGTGAACTGGTCGTGCAGAGGACACGCGTTCCTGAGCAGGTGTGTGCGAGGCTCTTTCCCATGCCGCGAGAAGATGATGCTTTGGTTGGTTGTGTGGGCGGTTGGGGGCAAATTCTGAGATTGCACTCGTCAAAGAGGGGCAAGGAGCCCTGGGAGCTGAGCCCCTGGTTGTGGGAGGCGATGTGGAACATTTGTCTGCCTGCGTTTTGTCCACAAGGCAATCCCAATGATCTCCAAGGTTCACATTATGGGTGGGCTGGGGAGGGCAGATTCGCAGCACGCAAGGTGTTGTCTGTTGGCCCAATCGGGGACGTAGGCGAGCGAGTCATGCATCGCTGAAGTCCTTACATTGCTTTGCCTTCACAAGACAAGCGGGTCCCAGCACATTGCAGCCGACTGCAGGCACATATGCATCCAGAACGTTCTCTCATCTCCACTCATTCATTTGTTTACTTCTCCACTCACTGAGGTGCTGTCGGGGGCATGGCTCCAGTCATGGAGTCTATCCTTTTTGAACCCCAGGGTCAAATGGTTGGGAATGTGTGGGATTGAGGCTGGAACGCTGTCATCATCTGTCTGTGCAGGAAACCCTGTTTATTTTGAGGAATGCCAGATGGTTTGGGACTGAGGCAGGCGACGTCTACCAGGTTTGTGCACACCCCATGCAGGTGGAACGGCAAGTTGGCAGCTGGCAGGGCTGGTTGTTGCCCTCCCTGGGCACTATTTTTGCAACAGGCTGCACAAGTCACCTGTCCAATCACAATAGCACTCGGAATGCCTGAGCTCCTTTCAACCATAAGGTTCAGTTCATCCCCTATTTTAATCTCAGCAACAAAGTAGAAATAGTCTTATTTCCTTCCATGGACAACAGATATGCAGCAGTGCCTGCAACCACGATTCAGCTTCTCTGAATGGAGCCTTTGGGCATTTGCCAAAGTATGATTTTGTGTGATTGTCTTGTCCATGCCATTCAGTAGTTTGAGCTATTTTGCGCAGAGGCCATTACAGCCATTTGAGCAGGGCTTGTAGCAACTGCGACTATGTGTGTTCATGCAACCCAGCAAGCCAGGTCCACCGAAATGGAGGACAGAGATCCCGTTGTCAAGCAGATGATGGGTGCCCATTGGAGAGAGAAAGGCATCAGATGTGTGTAGCATGGCATGCTTCTGCTATTTCCTGTCGTCACTCTTCCAAATCTGAAGATCTTTAAAGGATCTTTGAGGAGCATGGACAGGCGCGATTTCAGGTACCTGCAGACCGGTAAGTCTGCGCAATCGTGCTGTTCTGTCCCAGTGTTGTATAGTCCAGTTAGACTGGTAGCGTACTGATGCCGTCAGGTCGTGTGGATTCAATAGAAACATGTGCCGTGACAGTCGTGTCCCCTCTTGCGTTGCCCGTATGGGTACATTCATGCACGTCTTTGCACCCATGCTCTCCAGCTGCGAAATTCATAGCACAAGTGCATGAAGCCCTAACAATCAAATATCGATCCAACAATGCTCAATTCAAGACCAGTTTATGGCCATGGCCACTCCAGTGCTGGAGCAATGCACATTTCATGCCTGCAATGCTGGACTGCCAGACTGCTGTAAACACTGTTTGGGGCAAAGCACCAGCCATATTAAACAGCTCCCAAGTACTCTGCTGTTTGCAATCTTTGTGTTTTAACATCTTTTGATGCTGCAAGGGTGTTGTCTAGAATTATTTGCCATACTCCCCACAGTAGAATCTTGATCATCGACTTGTTAATGAAAGTGGCTGACAGCAAGGCAATAGCAGTGGCAAAATCTGCCCATGGGGCTCATCGCTGCTGACATTCTTTGTGCCTCATGAAGATAATTGACGTGGGTGAGGGCCGCCTGCAAAACGTTATCACGTTTCCACCCACTGGCTCCTTTGTCGTAGACTCATCGATAGAGGTGGTTGATGACAAGAGGGTGGCCTTCGAGTTCAAGACGGCTTGTTTAAAGGTGCCTGGCATGCAGTTGCCAGTTCCCCCATATGGCAAAGGATGGTGAGCTGCTCACACAGTTGATAGGGACAGCATTCAGATGCATCAGTACCAATGCTGCCTTCGATGGTCTTTGGTCTCTTATGAACTTACAAATGCGACTTTTGGGAGCAAGTGAATATGTTATAAGATGTGGTGTGACTGTGTTGCACAGAGTGCTGTTGAGAGCCGCCACCTATTGAGAATATGAGCAAGCACTGCACTATTGCCAGGGCAGTTGGTGTTCTCGTTTCTCTTTTCTCATTTGCGAATTCTGTTGATTGAATCCAGCAAGACATTACAAAAGGACTTGTACCAGAAACGCGATGACAGTTACTACAGCAGCCAAGCATTTGTTGTCATATTATCTCATTGTGCCATTATTTATTGATTAATATAAGTTGATGGATTACTTGATCGACGAATTGATTGAGGGTTGGCTTCTGCCTGGCAGCGCATGGTTTCTGTTTTGCATTCTGCAACACATTCCAGCTGCTGTGTGCTGCCATCCCCGCCCATCTCCAATTTGCAAAACTGATCTGTGGCTATTTTGCAGGTTCGACACGGTGTATGTGGATGACGACATCCGCGTGGCAAAAGACAGTCGAAACGACACGCTGATTGTAGCCAGGGATGGACCACCGGAGATGTTTGAGACATAGGTAGTGCATCCAACACGTAGAGCCTGCTGTATGGCGAATTGTACATACTTGACATTAGAGGTTCTTGTGCTTGGGAATATGGGAACCTGCCATACAGCAGGCTCTCTTGGCATCAAAATCGAGAATCGGTGAGGTGCTGCCAATGGACGAGAGGTTCCAGTGGCTGCATTGGTATGCCAGGAGAGGGCTGTCATGTTGATGGCCATTTCTGCAACATGCGATTGTAGCATTTTTGAGTGTGCAGGTGCTTGAGCTTCTGGGATGGCGTATTGGAATGGGGGTATGTGTGCACTGATGCAAGCTGAACCTTGACAATGGACTCTTCGTACCCATCAACTGGCACCTTACTGGCAACAGCAGCCCTCGCATGGCCTGCTCTGCGAACATGGCCACATGTACCACCTGCCCAAAGGCAATGGCAGAAGCAACTGGCCAAGAAACTTGCAGGCATCATTGTTGCAGATTGGGAGCATTATGAAGACTGGCAACTTTCCTCTGCGACAATAACAGTCTTGCAAAGTTTGGCAATCATGTTCAGGAGAGCACAGAGCCTTGCAGCACTTGTGGAAGCGCCACAGCCAGGTGCTGGCACACTGGTACTGCCTCAGAGGCGTCCAATCGGCGTCCAATTGGCCCTGTTGTGTGTAAAGCATACATGCATTTGCTCTAGAATGGCAAGAGGCAGCCCTTGCACCTGCAACGCTTCCAGGCACGTGTCTGTACTGGATGTTGCTGCAGTGCCAAGATGAAACTGTTGCCCTTGAGCAGCAACTGTAACTTAACGCCCTACCCCCCGCCTCCCCCCTAATTGCACCCCAGGGAGGTTGGTTTTCTGCTGCTGCACACGGAATGCAAGGATAATCAGTTGGTTGTGTACGGCGTGTATTGTGCCTGGCGAATGGTGGGAAGGGGAAGGGCGTTCCTTGCTCCAAGGGGAGGGCGTTCCTTGCTGCGGTGGCTGGCCAAGAACAGTGCAAGTGTCTCGACCAGCAGGGCTGGGCCTCTGGCGATGCCGCTGGGCGCAACACCAATAGGTTACGATTGGCGGACCGATCGACGGCCCCCTGCCTCTCGGCCGTGCGCAGTCGCCCCACAAACCGCCCTCACCGTTCGACGGCGAAGATTGCGGGATCACACAAAGATGCGGGATCCTGTGGCCTGTACAGGTGGCCGAATTTGAGTGCAGCTAGCTGGGCCAGCCGGCACCTCCCCCGCCCCGCGCTGGTTGCGCACCCTCACAGCCAAAGCCACAATAACACCCTCGGGTCGCCGGAATCTGCACTCCAGAGCGCGCCTCTGGCCTCCGTGGCGCGGCCTCCTCGCTCCGCGGAGGCGGTGGCAGCTTGTGGCAGCCATCCGGCCCCCTGCGCTGTTTTGAAAGCTAGGCCGCTGGACCTCATGCACGGTGAAGGGTTGACCGGAAAGTATATGCACAGCTGGTGGATGCACAGATCAAGCAGCCAAATTTGCGCCAAGTCTGCCAGCGGCGCAGTCACCCTGGCCACGCTTCTGTGAGTGGCGAAGAATGACCATGGCCTACTTATTGAGAAAGCCTAAAGCGGAAGTGAGCGTTTCCCAATGGCATCAAAGTCGGGTCTGTCCAGCCTGAGGTATCCATGGCGAGGGTGTCAACCGCCAAAGATGCTGAATATCCTTGCGTTGAGTCAGGAAAAAAAGCTTGCCCGAATAGCGCCCGAGGTGGGGCTCGAACCCACGACCACCAGGTCAAGAGCCTGGCGCTCTACCGACTGAGCTACCCGGGCCTGATTCACATTTGTACCATGTTATATTTATAGCTAATGATGCCGCTAGCTTCACCGAGGCTAGGAAGTTTTGCACGTTGCAGTTCTTCAGCTCCGTATGATTTTGAGAGCGCAGCGGTCACACACCGATACACCCAGCCAGACTGCAGGCGCACATCCCCTCCGTATAGTGATTATACTCCGTACAACATAGCAGCAGCCAAGCATGTTGTCCAGATTGTGTACCAGGGTACGGCACATTGCCACACGGCAATACCATGTAGAACCAACTGCGCGTTTCCATTAGAAAATCTTGAGAAAACGACGCTGCTTGTCAACTTGAGAGTTGATGGCAATCACGGCTGTCGCAGCAGCTTTTGCGAAGCAGTTTGCTCCGCAGACGGACTCTTCCTAGAGCAGTCGATGGCATGTTGATACCATTGTCCAAAGCCAAGTATCTTTCCTGTCCCGCAGTCCTGATGAATCTGAATGGCTAATACAAGACATGATTCAATGTCCGTAGAATTTCAGCAAAGAGGGGAAGGCCAACCATCGACAGTGACTTTGGATATCGCACGGGGGGCTCCCCCAAACAACCAATGCCCAAGGGAACGGATAACTCTACTCATTAAACATATCTTAAAGTATCACCCATAGTACAATCGAAGAAACATGCACTACTCCACTCGTGCTTGCCAATTCGGAACCGCCCACTACCGCAGCAACGACTGACATTCTTTGGTCCAGTAGACAGCGGATCGCCATGTGGTGGGCCGGTGCCCCAAGCGCGTTGCGGCGATACGATTGGGCAGCGGACAGCCCTACGGCCAGTGCCCCACACTTTGAACACTTCCCGATTCAGACTCCTACAATGCCTTGTGCCACTGACAGAAAGTCTGCTCTTGAGACAACAAGGCAAAGACCGAAGGCCACAGGACGATGATGGGCGCCACACTTCCATGGACATTTCGCCTCCACCAACGAGGTTTGAGCAGAAAGGTGTCTGCATGGCTAGCATTACCCACAAAACCAATAGCATGGAGCGTCAATTCCACATGCTGCAACAAAACATTGCAGCAGCACCTCTGCAACAGGACAAAAGCAATGCTAGCATGCCGGTAGAACGATATTCACAATACGTCCCTGTCTTGCGCTGCCCAGCTACAAACTTGAAGATGAGAGCTTGTAGACACAGCCATGGCCCCCATACTACCTGAAAAGCCATTGCCTTGGAGCTGGTCTCACACCACCAAGTAGCAAGTTCATGCTGCAGATGTGGCTGCTTTGGCCCAAACCCACTCACAGCCTGTTGGTGCCACAACCGCATTACATTCCATTCTGTGGCTGTTGCGTTTGCCACTGGAGGAGACCAAGAGCTTCTTTCTGCAGTGGCCGATACCTGCTACCCACTTAACTCGCCTTCAAACCAGTTGGCACTCTAGTAGCTTGTTCATGCCCAGACACCCAGCTGTCCATCGTAACCTCTGCCTTCATCTCTATTCATGCCATGGAATGTCAGGATCGAAGGGGTGGCGATATCAAGATGACCATGTCCCCCCTGACGAATAGATAAGGCCTGACATGCTTTTGTGTCTGTAAGGGTGGACAAACAAAACCATGAGACCAAACAAAATAGACTGGCAAAACACAAAAGAACAAAATGCTGCCCAGAGCTCTGCTCCATGAATTTTGTCCAGTGTGTTTCAGATCTGACAGATGGGCAGCACGCACCAGGGTTGTGATGTGCAGCTTTGCAGCACGAATGGAGTGGTGCATGGGAGTCATGGGCTCAACAGCACATGCATGAGAAGCAGCGACTGTTCCACACAGATGGTGAGAGTGGTGTACAAGTGTTATTAGTGCTGACGGCTTCCTAATGTGCATCCACCCTGTCATTACAATGTGCTCCAGGCAAGGGGAACAGGCAGCCATGCTGTGGCTATGAAGCAATCCCCAAAATGCGCATGGTATTACTTGAGTCACACCCTATCATTTCCCCTTCCCTTCCCACGCTTTTTGTCAAAAGAACTGCTCACCAATGTGTATCTCCCCTACACATTCTGTGATAATGCACAGTTCTACTGTTGGTGTCACAACAATATTGTTTGCCAATGCTGGCAAAGGATGCCCAGGAACCATAAGAGATCTGAAAGTATTGTGCACTTGAAGTAAACTGTTTCAGTTGGGTACATGCACGTGGAGATGAGTCCAGAATTCACTCCAGCTCATAAACGGTGGTGGCCTGTTGTGCTGCCAGACAGCAGTAGTCGATGGCAATAATCTCTCTTTGATGAGAGCAGGGTTGTCAGGCCTGGCGCCGAGAAATTACAGTTACAACTCATAACATGGCCACATCATCAGGAGGGCTGTGGAACTTGAAGACCAATGCCCTGACACAACCTTTGCAGGGCCCAATAGAAGGCATCAACAAATCGCTTGTTTGCGATTTGCAATGGGTGATGATCGATGTTCTGGAACAGGCTACAAAAGCCCCACTGATGAGCAGCATAAATTGCGGATCCATGAGTTGCTGTTTTTGGTGAAGTTGCAGTGGGTTACATCGAAACACCGCTAACAGCCATCAGAGTTGGATACCTGTGAATCTCCACGTTGAACTTGACGACATTGTGTGTGCAGGATCACCCAAATGAATTTTCCTTGCAGCCATTTGTTCCTTGCCCCGCAGACACACACCTATGCGATGGGGTGTGGGGAATGGGTGGGGAGTGACAAATGGTGGAGAACAGGAACAAAATGCCCTTGGGGACCAAGACATGAGTTTGTGAACAGTGCCTGGTACTGTACATATGAAGTTTTCCTAACGTGAGCCTCAAGTTGGCCTCTCACCTTCACTATTTCTTCATAGGTTTCATCATCGATCTCCACTGAGGTGATGATCTCCTCCACCTCCCCAAGTATCATGTTGAGGTGCTGGTCGTATGCCTGTGGCCAAATAGAACATCTGAAAATAAGCATTGGCACACATGGAAACAATCCACAAAAACTCCATGAGACTTGTCTCCACACCAAATCAGTTGATGCAGAATTCTCCGATTGTGACAGAAATATGTTCAAAATAGACCCCAGGACAGGCCACCTAAAGTCTGCCACAAGATAGAATAGGATGCTTTCATGAAGAGCTGAGGCGATACTATCGTTGACATTGCTCTAGGAAATGAAAATTCTACAAAGCCTGAATTTTGTTGCAGAAATTATTGTGTTTTCATGGAACAAAACATTGACACTGCATTTCTCAGGCCAAACAGAAAGCTGTTGGAATCTTATTTGCCTTGATCTGCAACACTTCTTGGTTTTGCCGAATCATGTCTTGTGACACCAATAACATGGACCACAGGCCACGTCTGTGGGAATACGGTGGTCCGCACAAGCACAGGCCACACATTACCCCAGGAACAGTGTGCCAGCAGACTAGGAGTGTTCAGCCCACTGTGGACCCAAACAATCGCGGATATGGCCATCAATCAATAAGTGCCGTGACAGTGGATTGCCACTCGTCAACAGTTACGATCGAAGCGGACTTCTAGCAGAGAATGTCGTCTCTGGATCTGGGCGCCGCTTAGCAGATGCGCTGGGAGCGGCGCCAATCAAGGTTGCGTTGACCACTGGCTGTCCAGAACTTGGTGTGCTATCTTCTCTGAACAGGAAACTCTGTGGACTGCTGAAGCCGAACGGCAGCTTCATGACTTGAATTGCATCCTGTGCGGATTCAACAACAGATGGCTTTCGCTCCCCAAAAGCCCAGATGCCGCCCAGCATACGACCCAACGATGCCGCAAAATTGAGGAAAGAAAACCAATATCCAGCCAGTGCACTGTGGAATGGCCAGCAGAGCGCTTGTGCGGTGCCTCGCCGTCCCGGCCATCTTGGACAACTCACGTGCAGCTTTCCCCTCAGCTCTCTGTCTCCTCGGCACTTGACGTACACGCGCTCCTCCAGTGACAGCTTGACAAGGTCCAGTGGCTCCTTCACCGTTGGCCCCTGATCCGCCATTGGCGTCTGGTATGGGAAGATCGGGTTGCGCCTTCAGCCGTTGGGAGGCAGCCAGTGGTGCAAGGAGGGTGGAGAATGTCCAGTTGAACTAGAAGTGATCGGGATGTTATTAACCGGCTGGACGCATAAAGGACATTGATGTACAGGACATCAGGGACAGAATTCCTGTTGTCCCTTTCCTCCGCTGTAAACCGTTGCCGTGTACTCGAGCCAATGGTCCCCAGTCAGGGGTTGCCACCCCTCGACCACGCCTTTCTTCGTCAATACCTCGTGCTGGGTAGTGGGACCTCCATAATAAAGAAATTTGTGTTGGCATGCCATATTAACAACCCGCCCTTGCGATAGGATAATAATGGCACACTTTTCTGGTGCATCCTGCACCTCACCCAGCATGGTAGATAGTGTGCTGATGTTCCGTTCATCTATTTTGAGATGTGAGGCCTTTGGTCCAAAGGTTAGCATAATATGCGATTTTGTCCACAATGTTAAACCACACCAGACGGCATTCCTAACATGATTAAAAGAGAAAAATGGACGTTGGAACACCGCATTTAATGATTGACGTGAAAAGGGGCGGAACACCATGCCAGAAGTTAACGTTGCTCGTGCCAGGTGCCACAAGCCAAGACTTGTGCAGCCGCCGCCACCGAGCCGCCGTGGGAGTAAAGTGCAGGGGAATGGTAGGCGGCACAACGCTGTGCTAGCACTAGGAATGCACTGCGCAAGTAGCACGCGGGATTTTCCATGTGCGTGGGTCCTGGGATCGTTTACTCTAACCGTACTCAACTAGCTTGGCACCTTTTGCGCATCTCGGGCCTTCCCCTATGTGATACAATGAAGTTAATGGTATGGGGCGCCTGCCCTCTTTAAGCTGCGGACCCGCCTCGCCGGACACCTAGGTCCTTACGGGGACCTAAGCAGGACCACCCTGACCTACTCCCATATCATGTATCGTATAACTGAATACGGTCCAGTTGGGGTGGTGTTACCATATCTTGGGCAAAGCGTCCCGGTGCGTAGACATGGGAGTAGACATATGCGTGGCTCACAAGCGTGTTGTATGTGGAAACTGGTTGTGCGTTGTGTCACATGCCTAATTAACCACGTTGTATAAACAAACAAATGTTGAAGAGAAAGAGTGGTTGTTACATGGAAAATAGTCCTGCGGACAACCCTCATTAAAACTCTTCCTTCAACTTACCGGCTAGAAAGTTTATGCTATACTATAATGCACAATTTTTTATCCTATGGCCTCCCAGCTTACTCATGTCCAAGAAATATATAGGACATACAGGGATCACCTTGAACGTCCCCTGGTGCAACCTCCTCGGGCCATCCACCCACAACCACGACCATGCTGAGTGTAGCCTGGGTTTTTGCCTCTGCCCCAACCACAAGCTGTTGTGGACATAAATGGCCTATCACCCTGTGTCCTCTTATTGCTCATGATAGCAATGGACATGGCGTTCATATAGCCATACTGCAAATAGTACCGGTTTTCTTGATAACCGGTATCGTTCTGCGCATAACGCAGGAGTACTTGCCACATACAGCAAAACAAACACGTTCATGCCAATGTGTGTATATATTGTAATGTAACCAATTTGCACATTCGCAATAGGAGTTTTGCTGTTCTCAAATGCTTGAACCAATTCCTGTGCATTGGCAACTGCTTTTGCTGGTTCCCAGCTCTTATGCTTATGGCCATAACCCAGCCATTTGGCAAGGTACTATATAGAATCCTGTCTATGGTCACGCATTTTAATCCTCTTATCAAAGATGCATTCGACCTCATATTCCAGTTCCCCCTCAATCTCAATAGGGACTAGTGGTGGTTGTACTTTGCCACTAGCCTTATAAAGCTTGAGTTTCAATATATAGAAAATTGGATGTATCTTACTCATGCTTTCTGGGAGTTCTAGTCGATATGTGACAGAACCTATTCGGTCGAGGATGGTGAAGGGGCCAATCCACCTTGGTAATAATTTCCAAGTTCTAGGGTGCTTGAGGGTAATATGTTTTGTTGAAAGGAGGACATCATCTTCTTTAACAAATGACACACCCCTCCGATGGTGGTCAGCATACTTTGACTACCTATTTTGTGCTTTCTCTGAGCATGCCCTGGCCTCTTTCAGCATTGATTGGACACGGTGATCAAATCGTGTTGCAGCTAGTAAGCCCTCCACAAGGGGTGTATTAATATACCTTAAGTGAGGTTGTTGTGCTCTATCAATGGCCATTGCCAAGCCGCGAGCATTCAAACTGTCATAGCCTTTCAACAGCTTCCGAATTTGCACCCCAAAAATGCTAAGGGACTCCTTGGGTATCGACTGTAGTTCAAGCAGAATTGGGTCTCTTGGGTTGAACTATTTTTTGAGTTATTCATTGCAAACTCAGCCATGGCTATCAGTTTATCACACACATCCTGATTGGTATGTGTATAACTGTGTAGATCATCTTCTAAAACTCGATTCATAACTTCAGTCTGGCCGTCCATTTGTGGGTGGTATGCAGTGCTCATGTTGAGTTGTATTTTCCAACTCTCAGCTAGGTACTGGTAGAACCTGTAAGTGAACCGAATATCTATGTCAGACACTATCGTGGAGGGGAGATTATGGTGCCTAATCACATATTGCACCAATAGGTTTGTTGCTCCTTCTGAGGAGACTTTAGTCGTGGTGGCCACAATGCAGTGCATTGAATGCACACCATCTTGGTCAATCTATCGATAAACACAATGACAACATCATGACCACCCTTAGTTTTTTGTATTTGCATAATGAAATCCATAAACAATTCAGTCCATGGTTCCTCAAGAATGCCCAATGGCTGTAAGAAACCTGGGGTCTTTTGACGAGAATATTTTGCCTATTGACAAACCAGGCAGGTATCAATATATAGTTGTACAACTCATCGCATTCTTGGCCACCAGCGATACCGTTGGACTAAGTCCAGGGTTTTGGCTTGACCAAAGTGTCCCCCACTTGGATGGTTATGAGCCAACTACCACATTTCAGTCCTTATACTTGCTGGTATATATACCTGCTCACTTCTCAACCATAGGCCGTTTGTACAGTGTAGTTCCCGTTATTGTTTCATAGACTCAAGTTGGGGGTCTTGGTGATAAGCCTAACGGATCCTTGAGGCAAAATCCTCTACCTTTACCATCATTTTTGACTTTTTATCTTTGCCCCACTTGCGTAATGCCCTTAAGCCACATACAACTAGTTGGCTTTTCCTCACGGCTTCTTGCTCACCATGTATTGGAGGAATGTGAGAGAGTGGATCTGCCACATTCTTTCTCCTTGGGGGATATTCCCAATCAAAGTTAAACTGTTGCAGTATTTCTGACCATCTGGCTTGTCGCCTGCTCAGTTGTAGTTGTGACTTTAGATAAGTCAATGGGCAATGATCCATCACCAGTTTGAAGCGTGTACCTTCCAAGTAGCACCTCCATAACTGGACGGTATGCACGGAAGTTAATGCCTCCTGGTCTGTCATGTTGTAGTTCAACTCTGCCGGGAGGAGCTTTCTGCTTGCGTAACAAACTAGATGATTATCCTGCATAAGTATTGCTCCCACAACAGTTTGGAATGCATCGACAATGACCTCAAATGGCCTGCTAGGATCTGGTATTTTGAGTAAGGGAGTTGTTGTTAAACACTCCTCTATATGCTCAAATGTTGATTGACATGCTGCAATCCACTCCCACTTGCCATTCTTCTTGGTCAAGTCAGTCAAGGGGGTGGCCATCTTCGAATAGCCCTAAATGAACTTTTGAAAGTAGTATGCCAATCCAAGAAATTGATAAATATGCTTTATGCACTACGGTACAAGCCAATTCTTCACTTTCTCAATCCCTACCGGGTCTGGCCGAATGCCTTCTTGAGATATGATATGTCCTAAGTAGGAAATTTCCTCCTTGTTGAATTGGCATTTATGTAATTGGCAATACAATTTCTGTTGCCGCAACACCTCTAGTACTTGTTTAAGTTGTTGTAAGTGCTCCTCGGCAGTTTGGCTAAACACAAGTATATCGTCCAAATACACCAAAACGTGTTTGTCAATTTGATCACCAAATATACGGTGCATTATCTGATAAAATATTGCCAGTGCATTTGCAAGCCTAAAGGGAAGAACCTTGAACTCGTATAATCCCAATGGGTTTACAAATGCCATTTTGGCACAATCAGCCTTATCAATACGAAGTTGATAATACCCCTGCTGCAAATTGATAACCGAATATACTTGGCCCCTTGCAGTTGATCTAACAAGGTATCTATCCTCGGCATAGGCCACTTGTTTTTAATGGTAGCGTTATTCAATGCCCCATAATCAATTCACATCCGGAGGTTGCCATCTGACTTTGGTACAAAAGCTACCGGGGCCCCAAAAGGGTTGTTGCTTTTGGTAATAGGACCCTTTTGTAGTAGATAATCTACCTGCTCTTTAATCTTGTCTATTTCTTTAGGACTGTACCAGAAAGCCGGTCGCTTCACCGGTTTGGTACCATTCTCTAGAGGTATGGTCAAAGCAACCCCCTGGTCTGGAGGAAGTCCTACATGTAGTTCATCAGGAAAAAGGTCTTTATACTCCTCCAGAATTGTAGAGATCTTTGCACGGTCTACAATATAAGAAGTGGTCTCACGACCTGCATTAGCCGAATGGCTTGCAATGACCAAAGGGCCCAGTGCATCCCTGATACGAAAAGACTATGGGTGTGGGGTTCTTGCCCTCTTTGAGCCGCGGACCCGCCTCGCCGGGCACCTAGGTCCTTACGGGGACCTAGGCGGGACCACCCCTCCTACTCCCATATCCTTATAAGTATAATGGTTACTGTAGGACAAGGATTATAATACGATCTTGGGCAGGGCGTCCCCCACACCAAGGGCCAGTAGTAGGGCGTCCCCCACATCAGGCCGGTGCGCGTAACATTCGTCCCCCTCAGGGAGGTGGGGCGTCCTCGTCCCAATATATGGATATGGGAGCAGAAACTTTAT